TGGCTGTGGTATGAGGCTTCTGGCAACCCCACTGTCACGTGAGCGTGATAAGCGGCATGCGGCACCTCCATTGTTTCATGATTTGAGGCATGGCTAATGTAGGTTCCTCCCGGCAAGTCCACAGGTACATCAGCAGACACCCCGACTGAAGCTTCACCTGCATGGTCAACATGCTCGCCAGAGTATGGGACATCACTAAGGCTCATTTGGCCCAATGCCCTGCAGCATAGCAGCAACCACCATCTCCTTGTCTTCATCCCATGAGCCGCGCCCCAGGGCCCTACGAAGAGTAGCCGTCGCTTGGGCACAAATGAGATCCACGGCGGTTCCTTCATCGCCGCGAGGCAGCTGTGGAATTTCTTTCAACTAGATGTCATACACCCCGTCAAAACTCTTGGCCTCCTCACACGGGTATTTTAAAAAAAAGGGAAAAAAAAAAAGAGGGACGGGGGGTTCAACAAATGTCCTGAGAATCCCACCTTCGGCCCTGTGATCCCACCGAGCTTTTTCACCGCTCACGACAGCCGCGACAGCCGCTCACATAGCATGGCTACTGTGTAGAACATCAGGAGTTACAGGTTTGAAAGGGACATAATCAGTGTCAAACATAGTCTGGTCGGAGGCTGCAAGCCACCTGAAGACTGCATCAATAGAACAATTGCTTCAAGTCCTGTCTTTCCCGTAAAACAATGTCCTGCAGATCGTGAATGGGTTTGGGCGTCAACTCCTGTTGGTCCTACAGGTTTGCGATGCCACTCCTGGACATGCCACGCGGTCATTCGTGGACGCCAATGGATCCGAGCCCTGCCACATTGAGGGTCCATGTGTGGAGCGAGCCAGTCAGCTATTTTCACCAGCATCCAGTGACGACTTGGCTCAAAAAAACCGCAAACTCTGCCATGAAAAGAATCTCCTACACACCTCAGGACCTGAGCTACCCACATAACATCTTCTCATGTTGAAGTGCTTCCCGTCTCATTGTGCATCTTCACTTGGCCCACTGCCGAGGCATTCGCAAAAGCTCACGTTCCCAGCGTGCAGCTTTCAAGAGCTCAGGCCCAGTCCCACGAGCGCGTTGAGCGCAGGGTGGTCTGGTGTGCTGGTGACCTCGGAGGCTTGAACGGATGATCCTCTAGTACCGTTCAGCAACTGAATCACTGAATAGCATGCATGACTCTGGAGGTGTCACCCATTCACTTGCACCAAGAGTTTTGTGTGCTCAAAAGAGGATGCATCAAACAAGTCTTGCGGGTGACATCGTTGCCCCAGGATGCTGAGGGATCTGCCGTTGGCCGTTGATGAAACTCTCCGACCTGGATGGTCGTTTACATCTCCATGTGGGGGGGGGCTGCATTCATCAACAGTTCAACTCCTGCTATTGGCCGCCACTCCACTGGCTGCTCGTGAGGCTCTTGGGGAAACAAGGCGTCGGATCATCGAAACGTCCACAGTCCGTCTGCACTGGGTTTGCAGGAAAGGGTGGGTCTCTGGGGGGAGTTTGACTAAAAGGTTTTGTATCGTCCGACTTGGATCTTCGAGATATATACATGTTCGGAGCAAAAATCACAAATGTCCAATAACTCCAAGATACTCAAAGTGTCTGTGGTGGTCATGGTGCTGGTGCTGGTGCTTGTACGGGTGCCCGTGGTCTTGACCGTGGTCACTGCCCCAGTCGCGGTGATCTCAGCCACGCTCGTCCTTGGATGCGACAGAGAGGCCCCACGGCCTTCCCGGAGTGGGGAAATGAGGCTTGCCAGCAAGCGAAAAGAAATCTCAAACGACCAAGTCCATGATTGCATACAACATTGCGGGAAAACATGGGACAACTCCGAAGTATGTGCACAATTGTGCACGTCTGTGCTATTTGCATGCTATCCCTGCCACTGCGCCACGACAGCACCTTTGAACCCGTGACCCTCAGCTTCTCACACTTGGATGACTGAACACATCCATGTTAATAGCTCTCCAATCCCCAAGGCCATGAAGTCTGAGTAATCCACACATGTGTATGATTTATATTATCCACCCAACCTCTCTTCTTTCTTCCCAAGCTCGTGGTGCTGGTGCTAGCTGCTTGCACTTGTGCTGTCCGTCGCCCCCAAACCACCGAGCAAGACGTTCCCGGCGGCGCTGGGAACAGGCGCAGAACACAGAACGGCGCCAGCCAGGTGGGCCGTGGTTCGCCGGCCCGGCTCCATCACCACTGGGCAGTGGATGCCTCCCCCTGATCAGAATGGATTACCATGATTAGTTCGTGAATGTTCGTGAGAAAAGGAAGCAAGTCCAAGGAGTGCAAATTCCCTACCAAGCGCGGATCTCCGTCTTAGGAATGAGAGGGCTGCCAACACCACAACCCTGGTCGTTGTGGAGGGCACCTGGTGGCCAAGGCATTCTGCGGCTCCACTCCCCTTAGACTTGATGAATTCTTGCAAAGCTACACTCATCCCATTCGACAACTGAAATCCCCCAAGAAGTCTAGCAAAATGCAAGTGGCCACACTCTCATGCTGTTTCTGTCATCGAATTAGTCCACAAAAGAAATTGATCCCTCACAGCTAGTTTCCTGAGGCGATCGTGAACAGAGCTGCAAAAGCATCCTTTTTGCAAGACAACCATTTAACTACACTCCGACTCGCTAACATGGAAATGGAAAGCCACCTGTTTGTAGAGGAAAATGGTCTTCACTGGGGCCATTTTCCGCATTTTCCACTTCCATGTTAGTGAGTCAGAGTGTAGTATTCTTCAAGCTGATACATTCCCAGAAATGATGATGTTCATTTTGCCCAGTGTTCATTTCTGCATTCTGCATCTGTCTGCCACAAATGAGAGCGAAACATACAGTCCGAGACGTTCTGCCAAAAATCACATACCTTTGACACCCATAGGCCTGTGTTCCACGGCAGCTCATCTCCTTCACCAAACCCAGGACGGGGCCGCAGAGTGCAGTCCCTACAAAGCGACACCGACGAAAGTGTTCCCAGTCGGGAAGATTCATAGTAGCTTTGTAGTAAGGCGAGGAGCTACTAGTAGCGTCCTTGCTCCTAGTAGCGATGCCCTTTGTTACTAGTAGCTTCTTGTTACTAATGTTCTCAACATCGCCCCCCCGAGTTCACACTGGACATGGATTTGCACCTGTCTTCGCTTCCGACGAGATCACCTTTGGTCCGATGGGAAATTTGGCCCTGACCACCATACCCAGGGAAACACGGGGTGCGGACTGAGAAAGTCATTTAGTCCTATCTATCTATCTATCTATCTATGTAAGTCTATCTATATATTGATTATATAATTAGAGTTGCTACCTCTATAAGAGTGCATTGCTGGCATTGCTGGCCACTTTCCTGTTTCGTGCTCACCTCGGGCGATTTCGCCCCACAGCCTTCGCAGACTTCGCGACTCGCCAGTGCCGCAGTTGCACGGAGCCAGGGCCATTCCTCACTGCTCTGGATTCGAAGTGTCAATCTGCTCTGGACTGGCAGAACTCCCGCAGATTTGGGCGTTGGCACTGCCAAAGGAGGATGGAGCTAGTCGGGAACTACGACCCTTTCAGCTTTCAGTTTCCGGGGCCGCCTCTGGCCGCGCCTCTGAACGGTGAGGCGAGACAGCTCCGCTCCTCATCGAAGGCTTCAGGGCCTACCATGAGAAAAGGATAGAAAAGGGCTGAATGTAACGCTGCAGGAGGGCTGAATGGAACGCTCATGTAGTAGGGACACAAGTAACATAAGCATGAAAATCCTGTTGCGGGGTGAAAATTGACCAGTGAAATCCAGTGAAGCGATCAGTGGATGATCACTCCAGCATCTCAGACTCTAGCTCTGTTCTGCTGCAGGAGACCGCTAACAGCGTGGAATTGTGTGGATCTACCAACTGCCGCGATCAACGAGGAGCCTCTTCAGCTGCACCTCGGAAGGGCTCGTGCGTCGCAGCTTGAAACAGTCGCAGGGCTCGTGAGACTGATTCTGCAGTGAGTAGTCCTGTCTGTTTGAAAAACGAACATGATTGAACTGAAACCACTGACCTGGTGATTTACTGGCGCACCTGGGTGCGAGCCAGTCATCAACAAACAAGCGGCAAACTCATGACAACAATAGACAATAGTTTTTTGTTTAATATCATAGTAACATGGCTTCAGGGCACCGCCCATAGAATCTATAGAACCCTTCTATGCACACCAACGAAAAAGAAATAGCTTAGTTTGTACATGTTCTCCGGCGCAACCCCCCAAAAAGAATTATATAAGCGGCCGGACAACCTTTGGACCCGATCTAAGGGGAACACGCCCAGCTTCCTTCGCGGCATGGAACCTCAGCCGTGAAGGGAGAAGAGAAGCCACCGCAGCGGACGAAGCCACACAAATGCAAAGAGCTACTAGTAGCTTCTTGTTCCTAGTAGCATGGCCAGGAGCAAGAAGCTAGTAGCGTCCTTGCTACTATTAGCGATGCCCTTTGCTACTATCATACTAGTAGCTTCTTGTTCCATGTTTGAAGGGTTGCATCTTCTATCCATGATTTTTTGATCGTAGACAAGAGGCACACAGCCCCGTAGTTGTAAACCGAGTTGTGTTTGGATGTTATTTATGTGCATGCACTGCGCTGCCCTAGTGACCTAGTGATGGCGACTCCTGGAGACTCGTGACATGAGTCCACCTGTCCCATGAGCCCAGTCCGAAGTCCAGTCTGCGCTGAGGGGAAGGCGTATGATATGGATCTGTGAGTCGCAAAGCCCTTTGGCTAAGCCATGCTGAGCCAAAATGACTGTGCGTGCCACTGCCTCGCTAATTCAACACTCCTTCCAGGATGTTCAGCACGGCAGGGCTCCGCCAAGTGACAATTTCACCATTGCACATTGCACAAGACATGGCCAAGCTCAGTGAATGCCTTGTCACATGGAGCGGTCTCCATCCCAACTGTCCAACAAATTATATAGCCCTGCCAGCTTGGCTTGACCGGGGCTTTGTTGCGGCGTTCCCTTCTGACGCAGTGGTGCAAACCCTTTGCGTCTTTTGGCACGACGAGTCGCGCGCACGCCCACCTATCTCTGGGCCATTTGGTCGGTCGCTGATCGTTGGACGACAGTGGTTTCAAAAACAAATCGACATGCAGTGTCTGCATTGGCGGCTAAGCCCCGCCGCAACAGATTGGCCACAATTGAACTAGATAAATCACTACCACTACGTGTTCTCCCATGCTTCTCCTGATAATGAGGTGATCTTCTACACTGCACACCTGTCCCCCAACGGTCTTCCAGCTGTCTTGCCCCTACATGTGTGAAAACGCCTCACCTGCGCCACCCAAAGTTGACACTGATCCCCATGCCAAAAGCAGAAGCATTGCAGAGATCCGGGGCGTCTGCTGCAGGGCAGATGACTTCGGGGGCTCCTTGGCATGGGAGCAGTTCAGCCAGCACATTTTGGTGTTCAATCGGGTGATATGGTGCCTGAAAGGATGGCCCCCCAGCCATACAGCAGGGGCTACCAGGGGCTGTGATTCGTACGGGCCAGGTTTCTTGCGTCCTTCCTTCCAAAAAATAGATGGTTTCCAACACACAAGTGCTTCGTTGATGTTACAAATGGCCTGACATGTTCCGGTCGCTTCGTCAGAGCACTTTTGGGAGCTAGCTCGCAGGTTTAAAATGTTGCCAACGAGAGAGTGCATGTCCCATGCCCCACAACGCCCACGGGGTTTGGGAACACAGGGTTGCTGAATAATCATGATATATATTATATAATATATAATATGTAAACATTGCACTTGCACCAACCTCGCAGTCACAGGGTTGATCAAAGTGACTTATTGTGAAAGAACCTGGTGATTCTTTCTCAAATGGTCAGAAAGAGGCCACTGCTTACGTGGCTTCTCTTCCTCTGTCAGCAAGCATCTGTAGTGGTGGTGTTCGTCGTCGATGTGGTGGTTGTGGAGGTCGTGGTGCTGGGCTGCTCGGTGAAAATGATCGTGGCTGTCTGGACTTCCACATGCGTTACCACCACCGTCAGCGTCGTGGGTTTCCTGCGATGTTTCGGGGTGCTTTGCAGCAAGCGCAGACGCTGCTAGGCAAGGTGAGAAGAATGGAAGGATGACATAAGGACCATCAATTGAGGTCATCATCCCAGTGGACGTCTCTGTCATCAGGAGGGAGAAACACCGCTTGTGAATAGGCAACCTTGCAACCTGAGGGGGGACGCCTAGCACTTCCATAACCGCATTCCCTTGCAAGAGAACATCAGTCAAGTCCAGGAAAAGCGCTTCCAAACCTGTTTGACGACGCAAAACCGTGCTTTAAAGAAGGATATCCACTCCCCATCCCCAACAAAAATGAGGCAGAACGTCGGCGCTTCGTCCGCACGTCCTGGAGCCGTCTTCGTCCACCTCTGTGGTCGTTTTGGTCGTTTCCGCCACCGTCGTCACGGTCGTGGCCGCCGGCGTGGCGGCCGCGGTTGTGGCGGCCGCTGTAGTCGCTGCCGCGGTGGTCACGGCCGTAGTTTCCGGGTCCTGCCTGGCCTGCAGCTAGGGACTGGAGTAGATGATAGTAGATGTGTTAAATAAAGAGATCTGGGAGAAGATGCACCGTTTCATGATGATGGAATAGTAAAAGTCACTGAGTCACTAGTCACTAGTAGCTTGATATTTCTGAGCTGCCTGGGGAACCATCTCTATTTGGCCATTGAATGAAGTGTGTTTCAATGTGATATTTGGTTAGATTCTGGTGGTGGGTTGGCAAGGCTCTCCGGACAGCTGCACGCTGGTTGAAATCGACAAGTCCACACTCTTTGGGAACTGGAGAAGCGATTAGCTTTTGTCGGATTCAACACCTGTGTGATTTCATCATCCTGATTGAAGATGTGTGGACGTCTGTTTATCACTGTTTGACAGTTTGACCCTCCAAATTGTCTTGAGGCCAACCTGCGTCATGAATTCTAAGCTGATGGTGGATTCACACCAGCCTCGTGCTTTTCGATGTCCACCAGGCTGGCATGTCCCTGGCAGGCGCCGTTTGTTACCAACCCCTTGAAGTGGCAAAGCTGCCTTTGAACATGCCTACCTTGAGGGTGATCATCCAATAAGGGGCCCTCAGAACTGTCGACCGTCTGCAAGCGAAGGTAAAGCCCTGGGAACCTTGATGGAGCTTCAACTCGGCGCTGTGTGCCCGTAGCTCTCGTGTCACAAGGTCCCCTATTCGGTTGCACTCCTCCAAGCCTCACGTAGGTCGAGTCAAAAGGGTTTGAAAAACTACCCCGGTACTTTTGAGCCTCAGAGGTTTTACCACCTGCTAGAGGGCTCAAGCGCCTCCACGACTGAGCTGAAACCTTCCACGACTCAGGTTGCTGTCCGCCCCCCAAGAGCTAGCCAAGTCTAGAGACCTAAAGACTCGGAGGGGCCAACGGTGAGACCTCTTCATGCCGCTAGTTACAAGGCCAAGGCGGCCAAGACAGAACACGTCCAAGGGGCTTTGGCAACTGACTCCACCTCTGTTCGCTGCCCTTCTCAGCCCCTGACGCGCACCTCTGATCGCATCACCGACTGCACCTGCAAGGCGGTGCAGAAGTTCGGGCAGTCAAAGGTGGAACCTCCGTGACTCTTCGCACTTGCATTCCACAAATCCCAAAAAGCCTGAATTTCTTTTGGGATGTCTTTATGCCTCTTTCTAGAGCATATTTGAACGTTCCACTGTATTTGCAAATTATGTGGTACATCTGCTCCATAGCTTATGTACCTGGCTGAGTAGGTGCGCGCGCCTACTTACTGCCGGGGGAAACGAAGAGCAACCACTCTGCTTGGGAGGTGCCCGTATTGGGGACAGCGATGGGTGGTAACTGAGCTGAAGAAGGTCCGTCCAAAAGATGTCGATCCGCAAACTGCCCAGGACAGACCTTCTGGATAGACCTTCTGGCCAAGCCGAAACACCTGCACCTGCAGAACAAAACCGCACCTCCCATGCGCCATTGCCGTCAAGGCGCTGAAAGGTGCGGTTGTACAGCTCCCAGGGCACTCACTTCAACCTCATCGATTGATCCCGGTGACCAACGGGAGTGGGTGGAGTGCTCCGCGGACGTCGTTCCTCCTACAACCTGAAGAATGCGAAAATGTTTGTGTTTGATAATCTTGATATAGTCATCATCACATCATAGTCTCGCGCGACCCCCAAGATCTTTGTTTCCTTTTTCTGTGCAACTCATGATGAGGGGAAAGGATTAGTAGACTCCCATAGGGCACTTGGAATGCCCCAAACCTCCATGCCTGAAGCATCCACCGGTCTCTCATGGTCTTTCTACGTTGACTTAAGCTCCCATCCCCCCACCCAGAGGCCTCCTTCGCCACCTGGCCATCACCTGGCAACCGCCGAAGGATCTCCGCGCGGTTCGTGCGTCTGCTCCGCGGAATTCATTCGTCCGTGCCTAAGAAGAAGTTCATCAGCACCAGTCTGAGGGCGCGAGCCATCATCATGCAGCTCCTCAGTGATCAGACCATGGTGAGATAATCACGAATCATTTGGCCAAGCCGTCCTCTCTAAGACATGTTTGTTGTGGAATCCTGGGGAGGTCGATCTATGAAGCTTAGGGAATCCTGGGTGCCCGGCATTGATGCAGTCCAAGGTTATGCAGACCATACTGAACACTAGCTTATTGAGCCATGGCAGCTGCGCATTGAGCCAGGCGCTCCTGCATGCCTCTTGCCTCTCCCTGGCGCGCTACCGTGACGGTAGAAGACCACTAATCCACCGAGAGTGTGACCCGTTTCTGCCCGATGGGCCTTGCAGGGAACACATAAAACTCCTAACATCTTCTAACGTAGCGCGCCAAATTCCAACATAAACCCTCCAGAAGCCAGATTGTTGCATGCAACTCGTCTTCCAGTCAGGGACGAGTAGGGAGCTAGTTTGGCGAATGCCCGAAACAGCGAATTCCAAAGCCATCCCCTCCCTGTGACCAAACCGGGTGGGCTCTGTTTCGACATTGGCGCGCTGGGTCAGATGCCCTGCAACTCTCCGTGAAACCACTCGCCCTCCTGTGCCATGCCATGCGCATCCACGGTGCGGCCAAAGCCGTGTAGCAAGCCATGTTCAAAGGTCCCTTCCAAGATGCTGCCATCCGGCCGCACCTGCGGAAGGCAGAGAAGGCTTCCACTCATCTTGAAGGACTGCTATATGAGACCCAGACTTCCAAGAATCCTCCTGCAACCTCCTACAGGGCCAAACCTTTGACGGAAATGAATGGCAGGAGCGATTCCAAAGAGTTCCTTGCTTCACTTGGAGAGGTCCAAATTCCGCCGTCCTGCTCATGAACCTGATGACTCAAAAATTCGCGACAGGACCATCAGGGACAACACCACACACCACATTCTACCACTAAGCGTTCTCCATCATCTCCATGTTTCTGGGTTCTGGAACCCAATGTCTTCCAAAAACATTACCCAAAAATGAGCCCATGTCAAAACCCCCACACCAACGGAGCGTGCATCAACTGTCGCGATCTCATCCAACCATCGACCATCCGAGTCCAACCGAGACGCCTCACGGCCGGAGCCCTCTTGGGAGCCATTTACCACTTGCCCCTCGTAGTGGCTGCCGTTCTTCAGCAGACCCTTTCCGGCGCAAGTCCAGAGAAAGCCTGGCGCGTTTGCGATGGCGCTTCCGATATGAAAGGCGATGGCTGTTGCGCGTGGTGGGGGAAATGGGACCCCCAAAAAGAATAAGAACGGCTTCAAGCGAAATGGCTCATGCGCCATCAAGCCCATGCCATGCTTAGCCCTGCGCTTTTGGGCGCTTGGAGGTGTTTCACATGGGGTAACGGCGCCTGCCTGCAACGTGTGAGAGGGTCTTAGTCTAATAGACTCCCAAATCTGGGGCCCAACTCTCTTCAAATACTCCACCCAACTCCACCCGATCCTCGAAAAAGGGAACATTGAAACCCAAAACCACATGAACACAGCCTCCAAACGTCCAGCAGGGACAAGCAAGAAGCGCCACCATCCTCCACCCTCCAACACCCCACCTTCTTGGATCTCTCCGTCGAAGCCCCGCCCGCTGTAAGGATCGAAGATTCGACCGCAGCCGCTATCCGGCCGTCCCTCCCGCCACTTCCCCTCGAAGGTCACCGAGGGATCCGTCAGCCTGGGCTCCGGAGCGCTCCGAAGCGCCGGTGTTGAACCGACCACCCTCGCAAGACCCATAGCATCCTAGAGTCTTAGAGATTAGAATCTGTGCGTTCCAAAGGTCATCCCAGAAAGGAACTCAATGAAGGATCACCTGGACCTATGTTTTGGTGAGTAACTTTGGCTCAAGTTTCTGAATGTTGCTGATGCTGACTGAGGAGAGTTGCTTTTCTCCCACTCTCGTGGACCCTTCTGACATCTCTAACCGTCTAGGCGGCAACCGCGCAGAATCTCAAGAACCTTAGCCGCCTTGGCGGCTAGCAGCTGGTAGCATGTTAGAAGTAGAACACCCCGGCCCCATTGAATGCTCTGGACATGATCATCTCCCCACGGCATCGTCGGAAGTTGGGCCGCATCCAGGGCACGCGGGAAGCACGCCACTGGGGTTGTAGCGGAGGATGGCAGGTCCACCACCATAAACCTGAAGGAAGAACTCCCACATGGCCTGCAGCTGCTGATGGCCCCACGACTGCAAAAAACACCCTCGTTTCCGGGTCACCAGAATGCTGGTCACCATAAGTGGATTTTAAAAAAACATGGAGGTGATACACCACGCCCTACCAAACAAAAACCTCTTAAAAGGGTCCTTGTAGCAAAATCGACACGGACCAGCTTCAGAGCCTCGAAGCGCTGCAAACCCCAAACACTCAAACACCCAGGATCTATCACGCTGCAACCAAGCCTGCTCAAGGATCTGGTAGTCCTTGTCTGGATCAGAGCATGCCGGGGCAAAGTCTGGTTTCACCCAACTCCCCTAGAGTCAAGACTATGAAAACAACTGATGTCCATCTGACTTCTGGTTTCTTACCCTCATTTAGTCAGCACTTAGCGAAAGGAACGGCCTTGCAAAATTGGACTCTACCTCACTTAAACAAATTAAACAACAGCTTCCTGCGAAAATGACACCAAATCCAACAATGCGACTGCCCCTATTGGCCCATCATCCCTTACCGTTTCAACCTCCGACGTCCTCACATCCCCTGGGAGGCCCACCAGTTGCCTTCCCTCCAAGGCTCGTGCTGAATACCCTCCTTGCTGGGCTCCGGTTGAGGAAAGTCTTGGGCCGGAGCTGGGCAAAGTATGAATTGTACCGTACTGGGTTAAGCATACTGAATTATATATATATATACTGTATACTCATGAGACTTCATGAAGGTGCTGATTGTTTTCTTCTCCTCTTCTTCCTCTCCTTCTACATGAAATATAACTTAACTATAACTGTCAACCCCGAGATGCGATCGTCCAGCAAGCACAATTTAAACTCTACTTGCAGTTTGTGATCATTTTCGAGTGCTGGTGATTAACAGCACGGAGCTCAAAAAGAACTTGCAAAAGAAAATGCCTACACCAGTTGCCCGAACCCCTTCCTCGGCTCGACGTCGAGTCTCCTGAAGCCCGTTGCGCAACGTGCCGTCGATCTCAAACAGCTCGCCGTTGACGATCGGCGACGGCGGGCGATCTTTGGTCCTCGGCGACGACCAGCCCGCGACGGACGAACAGGGACCCGTCCGAACGACCCGCGGGCGGGTAGTCCATGAAGAACGACCTTCAGATAACACCAAGCCCCCAGGTCCGAGCTCCATTTCCGAGGATGTCACAAGTCTTGGATGTGTCAGAAGGGTCATGGAACTGATGCACGGTGCATCTCCATGGCAATCTGCATGTTGAAGACGAACAATAGGGCATTATACTCCTCATCAAATCTCTCTTTAAGGGATTTGAAGAACCTGAGCATGTGAGGCGGGAGTTTGCTAGGATCATAACGACGCCCGGCAAAGGACACGGTTTTGCAGAGGCCATCATTCTCGTGGAGGTGGGCATGGCTGCACACTCTCTTGGGTACTTTCACTTCCACTGCCATGGGTGTAGAATTCAATCAAAGCAGCACGGACGGGGCGAATTGGGTGTTCAAAACTGTGCTTGATCCTGCAGGGAGTTCAGCAGTTCAGCCATTGGGAGCCCAGAAATGAAAGGCAAAAGTTAAAAACCACGGAAGAAGTGGAAAGATGGGGAACAACAACAACAACAACAAGTTCGTGGTTGGTCTTTGTTGCTCACCCTTTGCCAGACTGGCAACTTTGATTCCATTCAAGATTGTGTACTGCTCTGTCGGTCAGAGATTAGCTGGGATGGTCATGTGCCAATGCTGTCGCCAGCAACATCTTGGCAACCGGTTGCAAGTGACTTGGGAGGTGTTTGTTGGCAAGGTGTTTGTTGACGGTCAACATCCTCCCCGGTGGCTTGGTCTCAAGGTGGTTGGATGGGCGTTTTATCTGGAGGATCTCATCACGTTCGACCATTGAGAGTAAGTATTGAGTATTGTGACTCCCCCCGCTCCGGATGTTCATCCCAATCCCAGGCTCTCCGCCATCACGCGGCCCACCCCAACAAAGGAGCGCCAGCTGCGCAGCCACTTGGAGCCTCTGGTTCCACGGCGAATTGCTGACGAAGCATTTTTGGAATATGAGGTCAGTGTAGGTGAACGGCTGACCCGTACTGTACCATATATGCCATATGATGACATCATGATTACCATCGAAGAACCTTGGCACCTTACAACCACCCATAGGCACCCTGTGGCACTGATAGGCACCCTCACGCAACCCCTGAAGTTGTTTAGGCAGTGGAGAGAGTGGTTCAACCAAATCCTGGCAGATCCTCTCCCCTTGCGACTAAGCAGTAAAGAACACCTCTGCTCTCACCTATTCATGGAAACCAAAGCCATGCAACTCGCAGACCCCAAGCAAATCACGCAACCTGCGCCATCAATTTGGAGTCATGTCATGACTCATGACCAACTAGCAGGGAAGGGCCAAGTGACAAACTTCCTAGAAAATAAAATTGAAGAGTCCCCTTAAACTCTCCTTTGTGGATGCATCCGAGCAGTTTGGACCAAAGGGTCTGTCACTCAAGTCGTGACATGGCTGGTGCGGGAGTTGATCCTATAAAGAAATAATATAAGAATCAGATTATTGACAACAATCATGACATTGACATCAATCCTTTACATGCCCTTCTCCCGTTCTCGAGGCATATGTCGCCCAACTTGCAAATGGACAGCCCCCCTGTCTTCTCCGCCCCACGTGCCGCGGCGGAACCACGCGGGTTCGTGCATCGCTGCGGCTGGCGAAGTGTTCTTGTGGCCGGGGAGCTGATGATGTAGCCAAATTTCCCAGGAAGCCACCAGAGCTGTGGCATCCGCTTGGCCAACAATGCTTCGATCTCCTCACACCGCTTCAGCCCGGAGAGTTCGGGAGAGCCTAGATGTGGCATAGGTGAATGCCGGTGACCCAAGACCTAGGTGATAGGCTGAGCACTGGTACTGCCCGGCATCTCCAATATCCTATCAGCCCAGAAAGCCATTTGGGCTATTCCAAGTCATTCATGTGCCCCCTCTCTTCAAGAAAGGGTTACTGAATCCAAATGTGTGAGGATGCCGAATTCAGATTCGCCCTCGCAGAGCTTTCATCCTGGAATCAGTTGCACAGTCCGTTACTGGTGCCTTGCTGTCCTGCAACTCTGCCAGGCCAATGGAAAAGCCCTCTGTCACCTCCGCACCCTTGCATCTCCCATCATCTCCCTATTGCATCCCCCGTTCCACTCTCCTCCACTTTCGCCAGCTCCTCTGTGCGTCTCATGTGCAGCAGCGCCCGCTGCTCCGAGGGCGTCAGGCTGGCAGAGACGATGGACCTGAGAAGTGCGTGAGCTGGAGCCGTGAACACCCGCGCTGGCTGCGTTCCGTGATGGTTTCGGTCTTCTTTTGAGGCGTTTGGGCAAGCACCAGCGAAAGCAAAGAGGCGGACAATAACCACAACCCCTCAACAGTCTGCCTTGAGATGGCTCAGAAAGGAGCCCAGTGACAGTAGCGTCCTTGCTCCTAGTAGCGATGCCAGGAGCCCCTAGTAGCGTTCTTGTTCCTAGTAGTAAGGCCAGGAGCAAAACGACTACCCAGACAAGTGTCCATTTGTCCAGCTGCAGCTGTAGGTTGGGTGCCGGAGCTAAGACGCACCGCCGCGAATGCTCTGGAACGTCGTCGGCTTTCACCCGCTCTCCACACACGCAGCACTTGATCCTGTAGGGTGCATCCGGCTTTCAGAACAACTTTGTAATTTCCGGGTGCTCGATGTAGGCGTTGAGATAAGAGAAAACCAATAAAAATCATTGGTGAAAGCAAGATGCATTCACACTTTTCATGATGTTCATGCTTTGAGGGTTGTCCAGGTATCATCAACATGCATCTGAATCATGAATATATCTGAATATTAAATATATAGCTCTTGCTTCAGGCTTCAGCATCTGCCCTCTCCCTGACATGTCGCCAAACCCTTAAAGTCACTGCCCGCCTACTGTACTCCTCTATCTCATCCGCTGTAAGTGCCTCTTCCATGGCCGGACGCCACGCGCACCGATGACAGGCTGAGCCTACGCTTCATGACAGGCTGAGCCAAACGCTCGGCTGCGTAAGACGTCCAAGTCCTTCAGCAACTAGTAGCGATGCCCTTGCTCCTAGTAGCTTCTTGCTCCCAGTAGTAAGGCCAGGAGCCCCTAGTACGAGTAGCGTCCTTGCTCCTAGTAGCGACGCCCAGTCGCTCCTAGTAGCTTCTTGTTCCTAGTCGGACTTCACCCCCTTTGAGCGATCCTGACCGATCTTTCAGGGTGTCTCTCTCTCCCTCCGGCGGCGAGCCCCAGACCCGCACGGAGCGGCGGACGTGGGCGGACGAGCAGTCGCATCTCGGAGCATCTCGGAGCTCGTCACGCGTGGGCTTCGCACAAGTTCAAACCGCCCAACGACTGGCAATCCCAAACGGATTGGAAAAGACTTCTATAGAAAGCATTCCGCCTCACTTGGATGACCTGAACGTCACGATCTCACATTTTCCACTCGCTTCGCGTCTGGTTTTTACCTCACACGACCTGAACGTCCTCCGCTCCCAGGCCACTGGCGTCGTGATAGAGTCTAAACCTCGGTCCCGGGAGCGTTCCAAACCAGAAAAAGAACGCATTCCATCTAGGAACAAGGACGCTACTAGGGGCTCCTGGCCTTACTACTAGGAACAAGGACGCTACTAGTAGCTCCTGGCATTGCCACTAGGAGCAAGAAACTACTAAGAGCGACTGGTCGAAGGGACTGCGAGGGGGTCCACTGAGCAACTAAGCCAACTAGGGCCACAGCTACAGCATGCTAGAGCAACAAAAAATATTACACCGGCATAGACCCCAAATAGTGATCAAACAGAAGCACCTGATACAAAAATGCGAGCTTCCAGTGAGAGCAAAAGAAAACATGAGAGCTTCCAGTGACCAAACCAATGGGGGAGACTCACGTTTCGGCGCACTGAAGTTGAAGGTGCTGTTCCACCATATGATATGTGTTGCCTCGATGTAAAATAAAACGACATGATGTTGCAAAAGAATATGCGCACCAAAAGTGCCCGCGCAAACACCACAACTGGATGTTGCGCATAAAATGCACATGGGATCACACGGTGATGTTTGGAAAACTCAGGAGCTGCACTGTTGGCGCATTTTGTGGCACGCATACATTACATTACATTACATTGCGTTACAGTACGTTGCATAACATTAACATTACATTACATTACATTACATTACATTCATTACATTACATTACATTACATCACATTACATTACATTACATTATATACATTACATTACATGCATCAAAACATACATACATACATACATACATACCTACATACATACATACATACACAAATTCTCACTTACTTACATTACATTACATTACATTACAATACATACTTACATACCTACCTACCTACCTACCCAACTAGGTCCACGGCGGATAGACGGCCGTGGGGTAATGAAGGATGGCCGTGGGGTAATCAATCTTAAATATGCGTAGTTCCATTAGGAATGATGTGAGCGACAATTCATCATTGGAATCATGGTGAGTTCCATGCAGATTTCGGTAAAATCAGAGTTTCGCTGAGGCGAAATGGTAACTTCGAAGCATTCTCGAAACTACGCAACTACTTTTGGCGTCAGACATGTGTGCGACTTTTTCACTCTTCACAGGAGCTGCTCCAAGCGGTGGGAGTCATATACACTGATAAAACTAACGAATAGAAGTCATATATTTATCGAAGTCATATATTTACCAACCGTGAATATAGTGAGTATGTAATGAATGATAATGTGTCCTTTGATATCTGATAGAACGACTTGGAGTGATGGTTTAAGGTCAAGCCCCACAAACCCCTTGGAGTGATTGATAATGTTCCCACACTGCTAGCCACAAACCCCACAACAAATTCTGAGTAGTCCGTCAAACCCTGAAAATCCAAACACCAACGGTCCTGGTCCAAAACTATCTCGAGGGTCAAACCAACCAAAGGATCCCCACCACGAACTTTACTCCAAACCAAAGTCAAGTCGTCCAGATAACCTGGGTGAACAGTGAACACGAAACCAAGGTCGAAGAACCAGGGGTACCTCGTCCACGTCCACAAAACCCGCCAACCGCAACAAAAGAACCAACGAAACGCACCAAAAAAAGAAACAAAGGTTGCGGCATCTCTGAACTGAGCCAAAAAAGGATGCAGTGTCTAACCGAATGTAACCCGCAAGAAAATAGACTGAAGTAAATAACATGCTACGCTACAGGTGTGCTAATAAGCCCCACCTCCACCCCCCCACAAAAAAATCACACACGGTGTACTGTAGAAAACAACATATCTAAAAAAAACTGTATGAAAAAAAACAAACAAACACGGCCGTCTATCCGCTGTGGGCCACCTACACGCGCACCCATGTACATACTTCCGTGCATACATACGCATACGCGACATCATACTGTGTCTGTGTTAACCTGGGACGCGGCAACTTTTTCTGTGAACAGTCAGAGTGGTTGGTCTGCTCTATCTTCGCAAAACTGCACCTATGCTGGAACGGCATTTCTAGTTGGAAACGTGAGTCTGCTCCAAAGGCTGCATGAGAACGTCGGAGCCTCGAGAGTAGTGCCGTGTTGTGTGTGTCGATGAAGCCTGGCTCTACATTGCCCTTACTATGTTTGAACGCTTGCGCGTGATGCGTGCGACACCGTGGAGCTGCACTGTTTCCGCGCGCATGTTCTTGCGCGTGTGTAGAAAAAACACTGCACGCCAGACTGTTCGAAACAGCCAGCACCACCAAGCACCGACACCTGTTTTTCGACTTGCGCCGACGCCTCACAGCAACACAGCCAGCTGACACCAGCACCAGAATCAGCACCAGCTCTTTCTTGAACGAATTACGGGATAAAAAGGAAGGACATGTTGATGATGGCTGTGCTTGTGTATGGCGAAAACAGGGACCCATCCGAATGTCTCCCATTCCGTCGCTTCCGTCGGACGGTCCCAAACCCGTCGCTGAACAACTGAGATCGCCACTGGACTAATTTGCCCGCACTAACACCTGGGGCGCTTTGACAGCGGTGTTCGTGGGGATATGCGTTTCTGCCTCCGGTGGAAGCCGCAAACACCATCTGAAGTGGAGAATGGTTGGAGGCTCGACAGGCTCGAAGACAAAAAAAGATATGCAATGTATATAAATGGCTTTGCTAGACTCACTGGGCACCTGAAGTCACTGAACAAGCTAGCAACCGAGGCCAGCAAGCAGCATCTTTGGAATCAAACAGGCTGCTTCATCGGGGCTACTGGTTTTGCAGCTCCAGATCAGATGTTCAAATGCGGCTGAAGATCTGCCGCCCTTGACATCAGATATAGAGACCTGAGCTGAATGAATGCCTGTGCTTCATCTGGCCCAGTGGGGTGTCTCCGAAAAGAACCAGGAGAGGGAGCATTAAAAACATAATACAGACAAACCCATTAATTTCGGCAAGATCCTCACAGTGTTAATTCAAAACATCCTCACAGGATCTGTCAAGTGCAGTGCGTGTGATTGCTCATGGAGCTGAAATCCATTGTGGAAGGCCATGTTCTCACCAATCACATGCAAGGCCATATGGCAACCCACTCACCAGCTCAACCAGCCGCAGGCCCGAGAAAAACTTCAAGCCGGCTTGGTCCTGGGTAATTACATAATAGATCAATATAATAGTTACTTGCTGCAGTTGAACATGGACGGAGGTTTTAAGATGGTTTACGAAAAGAACGTAGGCACCCCATCGTCCTGACACAACTGAATGTTCATCCACGCGGAGGTTTGGTCTTGAAAACAAGCATGGTGGACCAAGACATCCCAAGACTCAAGACACAACTCCTAGGATTTCGCACCGCACCCATGTCTGTCCACATTCTGATATGGCTTGGTGACTCATGTTCAGGCCCTGAAGGCCTGGTGGAGCTCCGGGCAACCCACCTCTGAAGAGCCTGGACCGTGCTGCTTCTACCCGTCCCAACCGGCCAAGGCGCATAAATCTTTCCTCCATGCTTGGAGGCTAGAGGGTGGGCGATTGGTGGAAAGGGATCCTGAGTGAAGGGGCGTAGTTGCCAGGTTGAATCGCAGGAAATCTTCTGGATGGGCCAAACAGGGTGCTGATTGCCTCCCAAAGTCCATTTAGCACATGCTGCTAGGAGTGCTTGTGTTGCAAAGAATCTTTATCTTTATATCTTTACAGTATATTACTAACTACCTCTCATAGCAGTAGCACACAATTGAAAGCTGATGGCGTACGGCCGCAGGAAATCCCATAGGTATTGCAGGCACTGGTGGTTCCACAACAGTTTCTGGCCTAGTTTGCCGAGGAGCTCGGTGGCTTCGAGGTCGACCTCTTCCGTTTGGATACGGTGGAACCACCGTTTTGCCCTTCCAGCTGTTCACGTTCTGCCCTGAGCCCCTGACCATGATGGGTGTATGTTAATGTATGTTAAACAAGAGTCCGGAACCGCCCGGTTCACTGTGGAGAGCAAGGGCCAGCACATGGAAGGCTTCTTTGAACAACCCCCAAAACCCGATCTGCTTGTCACGCTGGTCAGTGAGTCACACGAAGGGGTTGGATTTAGGGAGGCGAACGTCGACTCGGAGACTCGCGCGCTGGAGCCCCTTCGGCGGAAACTGTGAATGTCGTACAATGTCAGTCTACATGTCATGTCTCTCTCTCTCTCTCTGATATTATTGACCAGAAGGGTCTTAAGAGGTAAAGCAGGAACTTCCATGTCTTTATGGGCCCAGCCCACCAAACGCCACGATGCTGCCAAGTGTCTATCCAACCGAAACTCCCCTTAAATTCGACGACGGTCCTGAGTTTGCACGCAGATTCCATTCTCATCGGTTCGGGACTAGTGAAGAACCAACATCGGCAGCCCTGTCACCCATCGGCCTCCGCGAACACTTGATCACCTCCAATGTCACCCCCATATGGGCACCCCATGGGCGCGAAGTTCTTTCAGCCAGGCATCCCATGATAGGTCTCAGTGCCCACCTTGGTCCGCGCTAGCAACCCCGCAGGGCCCGACGGGCCGCTGGCACCCGGCGCTGTCGGGGAGAGGCGTGGAGGTACCACTTGGGGCCTCACACCTGCAGGCGAGGCAGTCTCATGCAGTCACCGATCTCTATAGAAGCACCAGCTGTGAACTTTGAGGAAATCACTTGATCAAATGCCCTCAGCCTGGGGGGCGCGAGGGCGCGGACGCCGACGGTCCAGGTGGAGCACCGGGCCCGCCGCAGGGGGCGCTGCCCATGCTGCCGCCGCAGGGGGCACCCATGCTGCCGCCACAAGGGCTACCCATGCCTCGGTGGCGGTCCGACTTGGCAGGTCATGCGCCGTTTAGGCCATGTTAGGCCAAGAATGGCCAAGAATCTGTTGGAGAATGTTGCAGAGATGTCACCTCTCAAAAGTATGCAGAGTTGCTTTGTAGCCCTCTACATTGTCAAGAAGAGTGAACGGGAGTTGTGAAGTCGTGCTGAAAGGCCACCCACCAAACCTAGACTCGACATGCACTTGACAACTTGCGGCTGTTAAACCCATCGTTTCACCATGTCGCAGATCGGCGCACTCAGTTCGGACTCTGTTGGGAACATGGCCTACGTATTGGACAGGAGAGGATAGGACTCAGGACAGGGCAGGAGAGTGCGGGACAGGATAGGAGAGGATAGGATAGATTGATGTGCTTAGACTCCTGTGACACTGCCATATCCTGTGTAACTGACTCCTCTGAGAAGGATCTCCCCGGCTTGCTCCTCTGCCGGCCTGCGAAAGGAGGGGCTTGTCTTGAACAGTGATACGGATGGTTCTGCCAGAGCATTCATTTCTTAAACAAAGGGACGTCCAGTCTGCACCACCCAGGAAGGCAACAAATCCACAGAAGTAGAACCCCTGCAAGGATGCTCCAATCAAACACAGTATCGTAGAAGTATGGACGGTAGGTTGCCTCTTGTGTCCCCATCTCCTTTCCATATTGACCGTGAAAGTCTCTCCAACTCTTATTCCACGAAAGCCTTCCATGCCCATACACATCTGAGAGATACTTGAGTTACAGCACTGTGTGCACGCATTTAATGTGTATATATATATATAATATACATGTATATAGCAGCTTAGCACAAATTGATCTTCTGTCTTCGGTCCTGCCCTGCAGCCAAGTAGCTGCCAGGCCCTTCGCTGTAGTCCCAATCACCACTCCAGTCACCCTCGTAGCCACCCCAGTCACCCATCCAATTACCCATGGAGGGCGGCATGGACGCCATCATCTGGTTGAACATCCTGGGCGTTCTTTCTCGCACATCAGCGGACATTCGGCGGACTTGTGGCGTACTGTCAACGAAAAGGAACTTGCTAAGAACCCACGTACCCCTAGAGATACATTCATTGTCTGCATCCATACCTGCTTGCAGTAGAAGATGAGAAGTCACCAAAAGCATCCAAAAGCCAAAGCCAATCCCGCAGCCCCAGGGAGTCACGCGGCACGTCTACCATAGTGGATCGGGTGAACGGACTTGGTTCAGCTTCTCCGGCATCCCACAAGACAAAAGCCAATCTTTCTTCCACTCGGGACGTCTTGGCTCGACGAGACCTGGGTGGTTTTTCCTGTTTCATGTTCCGGGGTTCATGGATCGAAGTCGTGCAGGATGGGTTCACGAATTGAAGTGGATTAACTTCAGCCCCTTCTTTCCGAGAGGCATTTGTTGATGTTTCATCATTTCATTCATCTGTTCCTCCTCGTACTTCTTCTGCTTCTCAGCTTCCTGCTTGTGCTTCTCCTCAAGACCCAAAGCCGCACCCATGGCGTCTTACGGCCTCTTCAGACCCAAACATCACCAAAGGTGCTCACTTTCGCCGATCATCTGCGCGTTTGGTGAACGCCCTACCAGCCGTGGGACTCTCGAAGTATCCATGCCCAGGCGTATCGTACTCTTGGTAGTTCTGACCTAGCAACAACCTTCCACGAGCTCCACCAAAAACCACCCCTCCCTGACGTCTTGGTGTCCGTCTTGGCGTCCGAAGACGCGCCACTTCCATTCTCGCACTTCCATTCCCTATCCCTATCGGCTTGACAGAAATGGTTTTTTGGAGATGCCGCATGAGAGACTCCTTCTCGATGCTCCTCTTGGCCCATCCTGAGGACGAAAGCGGCCACGTAGCCGTTCGCTTCGGTGGATCTTCGGGGGATCCGCGCGGGGAAAGCCATCCGGATGCAACTGGATCCATCTGACTGGACGGTTTGACGTTTGAGGAACAGGTGGTTCAGGCTTCTTGGACCGATTCTTGGAGCTCCCATTTGTGGAGCTCCTCCGGTGGAGCGGCAGGGCCAGGCGGCCAGTCTGGGAGTGTCAAGACATGTCACCTTCCCACCGAGGCAATGGAATATGCAACAAAATGTTGGAGAAAAAAGACGAATTCCAGGAGGCTGAGACTCGGACAACACGCCTTCTCTCTAAAAAAACACCAAGTTGTTGCGTAGTGCTGTGTTGCTGCCCCCGGCAGAGAAATGGATGTGGGGATGCAAAGGGGTGCAAAATGGCAAATGTGTCAAAGACCTTGCGATAGTTGGGCTCCACCAAGCAGCTTCTCTAGGTTTCTGAACGTTGAAACAATGACTAATAGGCACAGGGTAGGGTTTAAACAGCCAACGGCGGCCCGGCCAGTTTGGAAGCGAGGCACCCATATGCGTCTTCGGCATGGGGAGGTTTTCTCTTCACCCCCCGTCTCTGGGGGGCCGAGCACGGGGCCGAACAACCACATGTAACGCGGGGGCCGGGGCGGCCGGCCCTTGAGGAAGTCACGACTGCGGTGGTGGAAACGCGAGGTCGGTGAAAAGTGAAGAACCGATTCTTCAGCATCCTGGAAAACGAACATTTCGGCGTTTTCCGGGCTCAAACAGCAAACCTTGAAACCCCAGGGTTCGATGATTTGGGTGTATGTTCTATTCAATCTTCAGTGTTACCAATTCTTCGCAGCATAACAGCCCTTCAAAGGCACGAGCATGGGCACCGGGAGACACCTTTTTTTCCGCCAAGTCCTTTTGGAGGGCATGTTCTTCAGCACCTGAGGGCTCCAAAGTCAGGAGGTCACAGTTCAACCCACTCGGCACAGTCCTCTTCATGTTTGATCCCGCCCAATGTTCTCACACACGCAGAGCCCCACTCCAACGCACCCTCCGAAGCGGACAGCAGGACCTCCCAGGCTCTCAAAACCCCTCATGTGAGTGATTGCGGGTTCTGGTACACAGTGGTTGCTCCCAAATATGTGTTAATTATCCAAGTCTTTTTTCATGGCAATAACGACACATACGCTGCGATGATTTACAGCATGCCCAACAACTTGTCTAACTTCTACCTAAGGAGGTCACTCCAGTGACCTGTGATCGACATTGTCTCCGCCGCTCTGGCAGAGGGCCCTGAGGTACGGACAGCCACCCCAGCGCGATCACCAAGGCCTTGGAATCACACGCAGCCGCTCTGCCATGGGCGGGGATGACATGCTTGGGGCAAAGAATATCAAGTTGTTGTGAAATCCATTCAATTGCTTGGAAGAGCTGGGTGAATTTGTCAACCCCACGAACAGTGCTGTTTGGGACCAAGCTGGTCTCTGTCGCATCCCTTCCACTGATTCTTCCACACTCATGTAGACTCTTGATTGGTAACACCCCCCACTTGAATTGGAAAATCCTCTTCATATGGGTTTATGTATCTCAAGAGTCTACATGACCTCCTCCCATCCTTCGGCCCAGGCACGTACGAGACCGATCGGAGCCCGGCTCCGCTTTTCTCCCCGGGCGGCGCATAGTCCACACTGTTGGAGCCCGAAGCCACCGGCATGCGGCGGCTACCAGACATGGCACGGGATGCGGCTGACTCGCTCTGCTCAATGACGGTGTGCTGCGCTTGCCTTGCTCGGAAGTGCCCATGGAAATCCATCAAATTATGGTGTGACTGGCTTTCTGGCCAACCCAGGGCAGGAATCATGTTGTGTCTTGCCCACTGGCCCATCCAATCAATCCCTTCTAAATCCTTGTCCCGTTGGGGCAAACGTCCCCTGTTTGGTGTTTGGTCTCTGGAGGTGTTCGTCTGATGGCTTTGTGCCTTTGTGTGTCCAATCGCACTTGCTAAGGCCTTAGCTGCCTTAGGAGATTTGATCAAGCAGCCCAGCTCCCTTGCTGGCCAAAATGGAAAAAATGAAGCATAACCACCGGGGCCTTACATCACGTACATCCCATGTCTACCCTCTCGGGGGATTGCACTCAGGGGATCGCAGCTCCTTTGCCTAACAGTTTAACACCCCGGTTGCGCCCTCCATAACCACACTCACATCGTCCACGTCCCAAGGCACACCACAGGCAGCAGCCGCTTAGCATCGTGAAGACCTTGCCTGGCGCATGGCCCACTGCGCATCTTTCGACCCGTCCATTAAACCAATCTGCACGTCGAAGTGACGAGACGCGTGTTGAAGCGAAGTGACCCAGATGCATGCTACCTCTCATTTTAGACTGGTTCATGAACATGAACAATGCGCACGATTGAAAGCTGCCATTCTTGGGCGTCCATCACCAACCCCGACGTTGCACGGCGCACGTGGACGTGGGCTGGGCCGCAATCTCGGAGATATCTCGGTCCAGGCGTGTTGCTTGGGACCTTGCATCGCTTGCATGAGGTCCACGGGAAACGTTGCACAAAATAGATTCCTACAAAGGCCAACTTGTTTTGTTGCATCAATTGCAGATTTTGGGGGGTAGTGACCTGGAATGCCAAGATTGCTCAGAGAAAAAGGATCGCAGAAACAAATCATCACATTTGGATGGCTGAACCTCTGAAAACCCCGACCCCTTTTTCGGTGGTCCAAGAACCTGAGGCTTTTGAAGTCCATTTAGTTATGTATATGCCAACAAGAACGAGGCTCGAGGAGACAGATTGATCTAATTCTGGCGCCGTGCGGCCGCCAAAGCCAAGGACGCTGCAAAAACCAGGAACATCGTCTTCTTGATGCAAGCTGCGTTCAGCCCAAACCTTCCTAGGCCTTTGGTCGGTGGTGTTCCCATGTTTCCTCCCACCTGTTTCCCCCACGCCAGGTGGCAGTGAGGCAGCCACCCTGTTGTAAGATCGAAGCAAGTAGGCATGGAGTCCCAAAGCTCCTCAGGGATTTCCGGAGTTCACCAAACTGCGATGTGCGATTTTCACCCATGAGCTGGGTAGGGGTCGATCATCCGGGGGTCGGTAGAACCGGCGTGAATTCTCCACCTTCGCTGCGGAGCGAACAGGGAAGGCTGACTAGTGGGCCACTGGGGGGTCACCCCCAACACCATCGACATCGGTCGCTTTTGGGGCCCTCAGGCACGGCCCTGTTGAGGCTGAGCGGATGCCAAGAATCCGTTTCGGATGCCATTGTGACGAGCCTGGAAGAGAGCCGCCTGGCACAGCCGTTTCTTTTTTTTCTGGAACCTGGCTCCGAAGGCCCAAAAAGCCATGTCCATTGCTGAAGCACGTACACCACGAAAAAAGAAGATGACGCAACTCCAATCATGCGGAGAGCGCCATCTACCCTACCCAAACGTCAAATTCAGACCACTGCCAAAAATCGCGGTTATGGATCCGTGACTGATGAGATCTTGAAACATTGCGCCATCTACTTTGCATTCTGCTGGATTTCTTTTTCTAGCCAAACGCGAAAGTAATCAGTAAGCGCCTACAGTATTGGAAATTAAGTGAAACGATGTACAGTATAAAGACTCTCTTGGGGCTGGCTGCATTTCAAGCAACAATGGGTCAGCCATGGTGGTTTCGCAACTGGTCAGTTTGTTCTGTTCTTTTGTAACATTACTAAACGCCTACAGTATCGGAATTTAAAAGTGAAACGAACTATGATGACTCTGGCTCGTGTTCCGCCAAAAATATGCAAGGAGTCTCTTTTGCCCCTCTAAAAAGTATTGAGCCATCTACTCCCTCATGATTCAGCTTTGCAGACGATGGGTGAACGAATACTAAAAAATCACGAAACCTGGCAAAAACCAACTGTTTTTCCCAAATTCAACCTTAAGAGACGGCTCGATTTCAACAATCGCCTTTGATCGAGTCTACTGGGGCCGTTTTTGCTTGGCACCCCTTGTGTGGAGTAGATGGCGCAACTCAAGGAGCGTACAATGCCAAGTAGATGGCGCAACTCAAAAACCCTGTGCCATTTACTTTTTTTGTGATGTATTTTAGGGTTCCATACATGTGATCATTTTGCAGGGTGAGGGTGCGGTTCCGGTGGCTCCACTGGTGAACGTACCAGCACTGAGCACTGGTCCGCAGTCATTCCAACATGGAAGTGATGCGCCGCATCATGGTTCAATCCTCCAATGCTCCTACTGCATCCTACTGCAAGGTGTAGCTGCCCCAGTCTTCTCGGTGACCTATCCCATCTTCAATCAACCAGCCAGCGCGAAATTTGCGTAACGCTCAAAAACCTGACTGGGGAATTGCAGCAGAGTCCCGCACCATCAACTACCATGGACCAACTACAAAGTGTTCAAACATCCTACATGTGGACACCAACCAAATCAGGAGTTGGTCCATGAGTTGGATCTTCCCACTTGGCGTCTGGGAGTTATCTAGCTCGCCAACCTTATCTACCGCTGTTCCATCGCCCTCTCCACCTGGCCGTTCATCAAAGCCAAATCGTTGTTCACCACTCTGAGCCGCCTGGCCACGTGGAGAGGGGGCGATGGCCGGCGATGGCGGAGCCAGAATTCCAAGCAACCTGGCTATGGCAAGGGACCTGATTTGTTTCAGACACAAACTGCCATTCAGGAGGAAACCGTTTGGATGTGCAGCCACCTACTAAGTATATATATATATATATCCAAGGTAACTATCAAGAGCAGGTCTGATTTCATGGTCGACCACGTCTACCGTTTCGTGAATGTTCCTGGCCCGCCCCACCTCCCATTGATGATCTGCATGTGATCCAGGGCTCCCCTGTAGTAATCCTCAATTTGACCGGAGCGCAGCCCAGAAGTCTGGCATAGTGGTGTAGTCTGGTGATGTAGCAGGGTCACACGCATCCGCCCTCGAGAAACGCTGACAGGTCGTCAGATGGAATGCCACAGGAGTGCTACGATTGAGAAAAACCGTACCATCTGTAAATGCTGAGGAAACCTGAGCAAAGTGCTGCAGCGCCTGCCAAGCAAAGGTGACAGCAAGTCCTCCCTGTTTGTAAGTGGGGGCCTGTGACTCTATGAGCTCAGTTCTGCTCAGGAAGTCTTGTCAAGCTAGGCCAGGCGGAAGGAACGGCCATGCTGTTCCAAAAGTCTCCATATGTCCAGATGCCTGCACCCCAAACAAAAACCAGTTGTACAGCAACTTCTGTTCTATGCCCCTCCAAGTCGTTTGTCCAAACGTCTGCCGCCCAGGCGCCATGATCTGGTTCCACACGTGCGCCTCTGGAGGCGGACCGCCCACAGGGCCGTCCGGCCCAGCCACGCCTGGCCACTCACCAGAGATGGAGATAGACTCGAAACATTGCCCTTCACAGAATAAAAAAGTGGAGAAAGTGGATGATCCGGGTGGTTTGTAAAAACCTGTCATGAGGTGTGGCGGGGGGGGCAGCCTCCAAAATGGATCCGGTCAATATGCGTGAAAAATGATCAGAATCTGATGTGCTTTCGCTTCTCAAAGCAGTGCGAGAAAGAAACGAAACTCACTCCACCCGCATGTTTCAATGTGGTGGTTTCAGGCAATGGTTGCTCGGTCAAAACGCCCACCTGGACCTTGGCAAACCAGCAGTTTGTCAGTCACCAGGTGGTAAAACAGAACGCTGGACCTTGTTGCTTCAAAGCAACACTCCTGAGGGGTTTGGATACATCCAACTATGTACTGCGCGCTGTTCCAGCGATCCCCATCCGCATCTCTAGACCTATGAGTCAATTGAAAAACCCTGGCCCTTGGTCCCATCCTCGCGCAGTCACTATTCAGTTCCTGCCATTCACTGTCACGGGACTCTCGCCCTCGCCTCGAGGTCCTGGATTCCCATGTGGCCCCGCTGGCCCATGCGGCCCATCAGGGCCGACCTCCCCTGGTGGCCCGCGCGCCGCGGCGCCCGGCGGCCCGGTCGGGCCCTGGGGTCCTGCAGGACCCCGGGCGCCCCTGGGGCCCATGGGGCCAGGCTTCCTGAGCGACACACGCTCGCGTTCGACCCGCGTCGCGTCCGATCGCTCTGGAGCGATAGAAGCGCCCCGTCCGTAGCGATGCCCTAGTAGCTCCGTTCGTAGCTTCTTAGTTACTAGTAGACTAGTAGAGTCTTGATCTTCGTTCATGCCTGCCTGGTGCCTCAAGCCCCTAAGGCAGCGCCCATTTGGCTGCGAATGTGAGCATGTTCCGTCGGGTGTTAGGATCGCCTTGGAGGATCGACAATGGTGACTCGTCTTGTTGGTTCCTGTCCGAGGGGTGTCTTGGCCTACACACAATTGTCGAGGCTCACTACCAATATTATCCGTGCTAACTTACCTTACGTCTGGCCCATGAACTCAGCACGAACACGCTGAAAGCATTCCGCAAGCATGCCATGATTTCCTGTTCCGTCCGAGTCCCTGCGTATCTGCCAATTGAATGATCTGGAAGAATATGCCAGCATGGTGGTGGACACAGCTCCTATGTATGGGTATTCTGGGACAGTGTCAAGGTTGCCAGAATCACCTCACGCTGTGGTATGACAACAGCCTGCAGGAGTCAAAGTGCACTCAAAAATAGAACACATTAGTGCAAAATTGATCAAAATCTCAGCTTAATTAATCCGCCAGCTCCGCACTCTTTACGAACATATGGAAACAGTTGCCGTGCCATGGCCCGCGCCACACCATCTGCTGCTGGGCGTCCCAAAAAGCCCGGTGACGATGGAGCCTGGGGGGCCTGGGACCGGCTTGATGTTCAATCTTTGTCTGGCCGCCTCCAATTCCTCCTTGGGATTCGGGAGGACCCCCACAAAGTCATCGTCCACCGTCTGCGTGAGGTCCTTGATGGCCTCGGACAGGGAAAACGGTTGGACCACATCCTGCACTCCTGGCACCGCTACTAGGAGCAAGAAGCTACTAGTAGCTCCTGGCATTTCTATTAGTAACTAGAAGTTATTAGTAACTAGAAGTTACTAGGAAGAAGAAATAAATAGAATTAGAATTAAAATTCAATTAGAATTTAATTAGAATTTTGGGCCTTTCCTTCAAAAAGTGTTCATGAGAAGTGCCCGCCATGTGTGCTTTGGGCCATGGGCCAAGTCTGCCTGAGTGTTCTCTGAGGAGTCATCTTTCGAGTACCTGGGTTGCGCCCCGACCCTGTGACAAAGTGTGTCCAACGCTTACCACCGATCCAGCATTCTACTTGCAGGTTGTCCTCCTATGTCATGAACAGTTTTCATCCACTCACCCACAATTCACGCACTCACCCACAACTGGCAAGAGAAAAACAAGAAACGTAACAACGTGTGTACTACAGTGTGTACCCTTCAGGAACTTTTGACAAGTAGGATTCTGAGCAGGCCTGGAAGACAACTAGGAAAATGACAAAGACAATCTAGAATGTTATATACTGATGTGCATGACTTTTGACAAAGAAACTCATGATATTAAAAAAAGGACTAAAAGGTATCCAAACGTTGTCACATAGCAAAACAGAGCAATAACGTTAAAAGTTAGGCAAACAAAACGAAATCAGAGTGAAGTTGGTTTTAAAAAAATATGATACGAACATAAAGTCAACACTCCTGCCCTTCAGTGGTCTTGTTTCATGCCTAGACCGAGACCTTGTCGCTAGGCTAATCCTGCCTAAGGTCTGAGCGACCTAGTGGCCCCCAATGTTTTGCTTGGTACCTGGCCATTGGTCTTCCAGCCACCTTCCAGAACCCATGCTTGGAAACATTGTTCCTGCCCGGGAAAGCTGGCTGCTCATGCTTCCCATGTCATATCTATTCATTGGGTCTATCCTAATACCTGTAACAGTGGATGATGATGGTTCAGTTGCAGGCCTTGTTCAAAAATAGTGATATATAATTGCTTACTGACTGTTACAGGTAATGGGACAAACCCAATCTATTCATGTTTTCAACTCAGTTTCCCCACCCGTCACGACTCTAGGCTTAGTTCTCTCGAACTTCCCCGTCCCGTCCCTTCCCGTCCTTTCCCGTCCTTTCCCTCCTTCCTTCTTTCCTTCCTCGCTCCTCCTCAACCGCCCTCTCCTCCGGCTTCTCGGGTCTGACTTTGGTATGGTGTGCTCCGGATGTGTGTCGGCTGCGGCTGCAGCGTGGCGCGCCCTAAGACTCAGACTTGTGCCAGAACACATATCTGAGCAAGTGCCAAAGCCAGAAAAAATGTCAGAATGCATGCCAGAACACATGTGAACAAGCGTCCGAGCACTTGCCAGACCTGATACCAGAACAAACGTCCAGAATTCGTGACAGAACACATGTCAGACCGCATGTCAGCACATATCAGAACAAATGTCAGAACACGTGCCGGAACACTACGCGTAACAAATGGCAGGAAGTCGGACCGTGTGTCACAACACATGTTTAAAAAGCATGATGCCAGCACAAATGTCAGAACACTGCATCAGTGCACATGTCAGGCAGCATTTGCTAGGATAGTCTGTCAATACATGTGTCCTGCCTTCTTCCAGGGTGGGGATCACTCGAGGTAAAATATATGTCTCTACTCTAGGTTCCTTTCTTCCCTTGGTTTCTAACAATTGTGCATGTTTTAAGAAAAAATAGCTTTCTTAAAATCATAAACCTATTACGTACCCCCTGGTACTGGAAGAAAGCAACGCGGTGCTAGACTAAACTCCCAGAAAAATCCACAAAAAACGACTCAAACAACTGCTCATTGACTTCCGAGGGAGGTACAAGATGTAATCCTCGAGATGCTGAGGTCTCATGGTCGGCGAGGGTGACAAACTCACAGAGCCTTGGCGCCAATCTGTTTGGCCAAGGAAATCTCAACCATCATGGAGAACTGGCACCCTCTCACAGAAAACCATACAGTGGGTTCTATACTATGCAGACTGTTGGTAGTGAGTTCTTGTTTCGCTCCTGGCACTCGGTAGGGATATAATATAAGGTATATATATATAACAATAACAATAACAATTCAAGGCAAGTTTGCAATTGACCTCACCACTCAGTTTAACTTGAAAAGGTTGCTGGCCAGGGATCTCATGTTGGAGGCTTCCAATCCCCTGGGCTGCCTGGCTCCCAATACACATGGGCAAACACCTTTGTCTGATTGTTGTTTCATCTTGGCCACATCTAACACAAACGTGTGAGCCAGACTGCCAGGAAGGACGAACTATGAAGCATCAAAGGTTGGTTTTGGAGGGCTAAGATGGAGGTGAGGCATAAAAGTGTCGGTTGCTCACTCCAGCTTCTAGGAGCAGTCGATCATGCGCTACCTCCGCGATCCTCATTACTTGCCACGCCCAAGGTGCTCTAAAGATCTGTAGTGGCCACCAAATTCACTACGCGCAGGCTCATAGAAGAAAAAAGCCTTCTAGAAATCCATAGAATGCCCATGCATCATGCCATTGTTGGTGCATGGAACCCTCATTCTTGCACATATGTTCCCGACTCCTTCTTCTCCACGACCCGCTCCAGCCAAGCAGCCACCCACATTCACATAAGCATGGGTGTCATGGGAGACGGCCAGCACCTGCTCAAAATAGCGGTTCATGGTGGGCCTTCCATGGCCTTCCCTTGACACCAAGGGCTGTTGGATTCCTTAAAAGTGCTTAAACTGCTTAAGCTTGGTCGGTTGCAGGGTGGCTGAATCTCATCAATCTCTACAGTAGTCCGATCGAAAGCACTGCCCGGCCACCGGGGTTGGAATTCAAGGGGCCGGATCTCTGAAAGCATGCCCCACTGCGGTACCTTCATGGCAAGCTGGTATCATTCCCGAAGACCGTGACCATGCGGCATGAGGAGTCTTCGAAGGAAAGATCATGCCGAACCCCCTCGCAGTGACTAGCGGCCCGAAGGAAGATGCATGGCCGTTCCCTGCTCAGCACCCCCTTCGTCACAGAGGGTCGTCCCTCTGTAGAAGGGAGCTTCAAGCTGTCGAGCCAGTGCCCCCCCACGCATGTCCCTGCGATGATCCGGAACCCCTGCTAGCTCGCGAGTGGCAGCTGAGGCGATGGCAAGATGTGGAAAGATGGCAAGCGAACAAAAGAACTCCATGTGAACCGGAAATGGACCTGGCGCCGTGTGGAATGGACCCCTCAGAGCCTCAGACCCTCAAAAATTTGATAAAATGTGCTGCTCAGTGAGCAACACTCAGAAATAGAAAGTCATATATAATGGGTCAAGCAAAGTGAATCAAAACACTCCCGACTTCCGACTATGGACGACATCAACTCGCCAGTATTGCAAGAGTCGTAGGGTCTTGAGTTTGATGGTTGAATGATGTAAATGCACAGCTACAGGACAACCACCACTGATTCGGGATTCGGGTGGAAACTCTGCTAGTTCTTTCTTACTTCAACCATCTTCAACCCCATGAAATCAGCACTTTGAGCTCCTGACCGGGCCCCTGGTGCCCGGGAAGAACCTAACATTTGAGCCACACAGCACTGACCATCCAGCAGTCCAAGGCATGTCAAGGCTCCACCACGGAGCAAGACAGGTGAATGCTGATAGTCCAGGCCGAGCAAGACCTCCCCATACAAACCTAGTATCCAGCCTGAAGGGAGGGTTGAAAATCATCAAGGTCCAACGTGACTGCTAAACACCAAACCAGCCGGTAGTAAACGGGGTTCGTTCTCCGAAACGACGAAAGCCCAAGCGGCCTAGTCGGCCTAGTCGGCCTGCCCCAAAAAACAGAACCCTTGGATGATCCGCCAGGTCCGCCACGGGTCCAGGTCCACCTCTGGGCTGCAACTCACCTGGTTGAATCATGTTGAATCTCTCTTCAGCTCTTGTCGCACCTTTTCGCCCCATTTCCGCGGCGGTTCACACCGGCGCGGCCTTCTGCCCATCGATCCACAACGGATCGTGGCACTGTCCGGACAACGCGCCACAACGCCGAAGGTAGCCTTGGCAAGCTCCAGCAAGAAGGACCAAGAACTGCACCATCAGTCATTGCATCTCCTTATCTGGCCTACAGCTCGGCAAAGATGCCAAAAGGAACCTGCAAGAGGATGTCCGTTTAACAGGTTTTGAACGGTGTGGTTTCGGAATTTTGCCAGAACACACCAGAGTGAAAAAAGTTGAGAGAATATCGTTCTCTCTTGCTCCGCCTTTCTGCGATGTCTGTACACGTGAAAAAGCCTATGGCTCAGCCATTAGCCCAGGCGTTTCAGGGCCGCTTCGGCTTGCAAGTCGCGGCGGTGTTGGTTGGAGCAGTCAAAGGAGCAGTAGAGGTAGTTGAGCCTCAGGGACGGACATCCACGCCCAAGTTCGGGTGAAGATGGTACTTTCGGGGGCGTACAGTGTCAGGAAAAAGAAGAACTACCATACACTACCCACAATGATCCCACAAAATTGAGCACACAATCATGCCAACAAGCTGGCGTTGCATTGTTTCGGCGACCGTCTAGACCTTTCCAAAGCCCTACCCTATAGACATCCTGCCCTTTGTTTCTTGGAGATGCCCAGCGTTTTGGTTCTCTTGGATGCCTTCACTTACCCTGGAGGGCCCTGCAGGGGCCGACGAACCAACTACTGGATAACAAACTGACCGTCTTCCAAGCGCAACAGGTTTCAGCACCCTTCGGTGCAAATGTCCCGCATCCTTTGGATTCTTCACGTGCTTCCAGGCAACCGGGAGAAGGGTTTGGCCGTGATGGGCGTTTGGCACTTGTCACATTTGACCCGAGCCTCCTCGAGTTGCCGCTTCTCCTGTAACGGCAGCGCGAAGCCGAGGGTAAGATGTGTCTGGGGCCAACTGGGCCCGATCCCCCTGGCAAAATGCCAAAAACAAGTGCCAAATGAAGAGTTTCCCCTGTCTTAACTCCAAGAACTTGCAGGGTCTTCCATGAGTTCTTGGGGTGGAACGCTCAAACATCTCGCAACTGTGCAGGAGTACCGTCTCCTATCTGATCAAACACTTACACCAATCTCGATTGGAGAACCTTCTAATTTTGACTTCCTTACTGGTTGGGAGTGTTTCCTCCCTAGTTCAGCAATGCATAATATATATATATATCTATAAGTATCTATATACATACACCTGCGTGCATTAAAAAGACTTGGGGTGGTCTTCTCCTCTGCTTCCTTGCGCAATCGCTCTTCTTCCTCCTCCTTGGCTTTTGCTTTGTTGGCCTTTTGCTTCTCTTTTTGTTTCTTCTTCTTCTCCTCCCAGTGTCAAGGATTCACTGCTTCTCGACAGACACTTCAAGCAGTTCATGGTGGTCTCAACATGACAGAAGCATGCCCCATGCTGCCTTCAGAACTTGCTTGTGCCCTCAAATTGCATTGGAATTTTGCATCGCATGACATCTAATGTAGACTCTTAATAACCCACCCTTATTTTCAAAGGATGTTCAATTCAAGTGGGGTTGTATGGTCCTCAAGAGGCCACATGACATCGAAAGCTTCCTGTCACCCCCGTCTCCTTCTCCTTTTCTCTCTTCCGTTGCTCCGAGGCCTCGGTGATGCCCTCCGGCACCTGCGCCTTCTCCCACTCCCAGGCCTCTTCGTTCTGCCCGCGCCACCGGCGGAAGGCCTCGCGCGCACCCGCACTGCTGCAGAGGTAGTAGGCCACACCTGCATGACTCAAGCAATCCTCCAAAAACATAAGTCCAATGAGGGTTGTTGCCATTCCCAAGTAGGGGTGGAACAACAGAATTCCAAACCACAGCCCAGCCACGGCCCTTGCTGTCGCGCGCCGTCGGGTCGCCGCCCTCTTCCAACTCCTCCCAGATCTGATCGACGTCATCTGCGAGCGCCGCCGCATGAAGCGCAGTGAAGAGGGGATCCTATGGGCCCAAGGGAGCGGGCGAAACCAAGGGCCTTGGAGTCTTGGTGGAGTGAGTTTCAAACGGTGCAGACTGAGGCCGAGAGCTTCAAGTAGCTTGCCACTTGGGACATTATCTCAAGATTTGCCACTTGAGATAACTGTGAGTGGCATGGCGTCAGGGAAAGAAACACAGATCTGGGCAACTGTCAGGGGCCACAACCAAGAACCGACATATAGTTAGCTACCATGTGGTGAGGACCAGCTTCAGCACAGCTCTTCAATTCACAGCCGCCTTCGCTCATCAACTCTGAACAAATGGGTCAAGTTGTATATGAGTTATATGAGTGATTTTTGGGTACCGAGGCCCTGGATGGGAGCCACCACTATCATCACCTCACTTATAACTTACAGTATAATGAATAAATATGGCACTTCGACTCACCATTGGCACCGCATAGCTCCTCCTCTTCACAGTACTTCACCGGCTCCGGCGCCGCCTCCGGCTCTTTCTCTGGCACCTTCTCAGGCGGCTTCTCCAGTTTCGAGGGCTTCTCGGGCTCTTCCCGGGGGTTGAAGCGGGCTGACATGACCTCCGCCACCTGGAGAGTCGGAAGCGGAGATGGCCTCGACATGCTTCAATTCCCTCGAGAAAGGCTTCATAGTGGAGGCTTTGGCAAGGGTAGGGGAGTGCATTTACTCAGGTTAGGATTCTGGAAAGTTTGAAGCTTCTCCAACTACATACATAATAGAAGTCAGAAACAAAAAGACTGGGGCTCCTTCTCCTCGCAGAAGACCAGGCTGGCTGCCCTGAAGTAGGCAGACTTGACAGCCTCAAAGGTGGGTTTCCCCATCATGAAGGGCAGCTTCCGGATCCTCAGCATCTCCAGTTGTGGGGAGCTGTCCCGTGCCCAGCAAGTTGGTGGAAGCATCGTTGAACGGGATTCTGCACAAAGAGAACCCCCCAGAAAGGGCGGTGACCTCACACCCAGGGATAGATTGGATGAGGATTTCCAAATGGAGGAGTGGCCAGCCCGGGAGTGGCCAGGCTTCCCTCTGCTCCCGGGCTCACGGAATTTTTAGGGAGCAAAACTCGAAGCCGCCCAAACTTGGTACATTCACCTCGACCTAGGCCTAGGCGCCTAACAGGAGAGAATTGTGAAATTGCCCTGAAACATCTATATACGTCCGCACATTGGAATGGAAAGCCATTCGTTCCAAACCAATTCTTGAGAAATCAAGAACCATAGCGATGGTCAAAAGACAAGGCATGCGACGAACCGAAATGGCATGCGACGACATCGAAAACCTCTTCCGTCCCCGCACGAGTCCGTTCCATCCCCATCGGATCAAATGATGGAAGGGGGCTCGGGATCTGCTTGGTGCTTCGAAAAACTGCCGTTGTCGCACCCAGCACCTAAGCCATCGGGACCACACCTGGCCCGACATCGGTCCGTTCCATCAGGGCGCCGGTGCGGCTCCGGCAAGAAGGGTTCCTTCTCAGTGCCCAGCAGCGTGGACTTCATCCGCTTCGAGACCTTAGGCACCGCAGAGACCGCCGGAAAGGGGCACCGAAACTCCCAACCTGGGTTTAGGGTTTAGGCATCCCTTTGGTACAACAAACCATGATTCTGCCAGTGGATTCTTCGACGATTCCTGTCGGCATCTGCCACGTCCAAATTCTCTATCTCCTTCAGGATGGCCACATCCAAATGACGTAGTGTTCTTCTCTTTTATCCACCTAATCCCCAGTTCGGAGCCCCCACTCCCCAACAAAAAAAAACACACCTGAGACCCGAGATTTGCGATCCGCTGGCAGGCTGCTGAGACCAAGATCAACTCGCAGGCACTCAGCTCTTCGGCCCATTTCACCGTCAGCAGCTCCTTCGACCGCTGTAGAGGGGGCGGTTGGGTTTTCTCTTCCAGGCGGGCGTGGTCCGATCTGGCGGGGAGAGAACCTGGAATGCTGCACTCAAGGTCTTAGGGCCTTAGGGTCAAGATCTCTTCAGCTTTGATGTTGCCTTTCGGAGGTGTAGATCTCCAAATGAGTAGGAAACCGATGGATGTTCATCTACCAGGAGTCACAAAGGGGGTGGTGTTTGATCCCCAAGTGAGTGGATAATGGGCACCCCTAACCTCCATTAAGCACCCCTTTGTGACTGCTGGTAATTGTTCTATTGGCAGGGTCCGAAGCAAGTCCAATCAGGGTACGAGGCTCTATATAAATGGAACAGATCACCGCCTCATCTTTTTTTATCTCTCATCTTGCATAGACCCGAAAAATGTTGTTTCATGTGGCAGTTCTTTCAGAGGTAACTGGTGCAAATCAAACGAAGGTGATGCCATGTGATGCCCCCCCAATGGAATACATCAAGAAAGGCGGTAACTCAGCATGTTCCTTCCAATGCTGTGTAGATGGACTGCCTTTGGACGAGCCGCCCAGCCCCTAGCCGCATGCGGCCCGCGCTCCGCGGAGCTGCGCTCCTTGATGTCCTCGGCCAAGCGTTGCTCCCCGTGGCGGCGGAGCCTTGGGAGGGAACGAGAACCGTGGGAGGAAAGCTTTGGCCCTCCTCGTTTTCCGCAGCTGTTTCTTGTTTGGCCCGTCGGCGAAAAGTTCGGGAGCGGTGTTCAAGAGCACATGGCAAAGTGTTGGGAAGTTCGGGAAGTCCCCCTGAATCTCTTTCTCAATGAAGATCGGGTAGCCCCAGCATTCGTTGGGCGAGTGCCTTTGTCTGAAAAGGGTGACGCGAAGTTCCAGGATATGAAATGATCAAATGATGGTTCTAAATAGTCGCTCAAACTAACTGGCTTTCAACCTTGCTTTGCAGTGGGCTGATAGGCTAGGGCTGGGCATCCTTCTCGGGGAAGAAATCGATTGTGTTGGACATCATGTTATCCTTGGAAAATATCATCTTAATTTACCAAGGAGTTGGTTCGTTGATTTACTGAAAATCTGGAGTAGAGAGCACCTGCAGCAAACATAGCCTGGGACAGCCGCGTTAGACCCTCAGGGGCTATCCACCTTTTTGAACCGGTACCAATTACTGGAACCGTTCTTCGGCCCGACCAGCCGACAGAACTCCCCCTTGTTCATGCCTCCAGTCCATCCCCCTTCAGCCCATCTGAGAACATCAAGAGGACAAGAGGACTCCCCGCAGCGCCAGCCGAGCACACAGCCGACTGCGCGGCACCACCTCTCCGAGCCGCGAGGAGCCGACGCTCTTCACCTTCTTCCCGCCGTCGCAGGCACTTTGCGCTCCGCCCGCCTTGGCGCGCACCGTGTATCTGTGGAGCGCCTTGTGGATGATTGACTCCTGAAAGGAGCGAGAAAAAGCGTCCTGGATGCTAGCAAGTCATTTAGTAAGTTTCGGAAAAAAATCGACTCGAGCTCTTCTTTCCAATCTTAGATTCTTTGCGTCAAAAGTCTCTACAACTCCTCAACCCCTGGGGTGTGGGGTTGAGTGATACGCCCCGTGGTTTCACACAACCCACATGGTGAAAAACCGCCCTCCTGGCCATGGAAGATGGCGCCGGCAAAGTGTCCACTACGAAGCGCCATCACCGCCCAGCGGGGCTCACGTAACCTGGGTGGGACAGGGCAGGACATCCGGAAGTGGCATATGGGGCCAAGGCAGTCAACCATGGGAAATCATAGGAACAAAATCCATACAAATCCTTCATGGTGCGAACTCTGGTGCCTGAGGTCCTCCAAATCGGGCTTGCTAGGGTTTGCTCAGTAGTGGATTGCTGCAGGGGTGCTCGGCTGCTCGACCTCCCCACGAAACCGGCACATGTGCACGGTCACATGACCGCTTCGACCCGCTTCGACCTGCTTCGACCCGCTTCCCCCGTCTCATACCTCCCACCTGGTCGTACCCCTGATGATTGGGGGCCAAACACCAAAGATCACCGCAGAAGGTCCAAGGTTCCAAATATAGATCTAGGAAACCAAGTCAGTAAGGCTCAGGTTTCTGCATCCTAGCCTAGCAGTTGGACCTGCTCCGCCGTGTGGTTTCTCACATTCTTAATGGCTTTTCTCGCAAGTGGTCTATCTTTGGGGGACAAGTGCTCATCGGCCCCTTGCTTTTCTTGTTACCACTTCTACGCTACGTTGCCTACTTTGGGTGGGGGTGGGGTGGGGTGGGAGGTTGGGATGTTAACGTTCGCCTCTAAGTGCGTCACATTGCACCATACTGTTCATACTTCTGGCCTACCACTTCCTACTTCTAGTCCTTGACACGTGGCAAAGAAGGATCGCTGAAAGAGAAGAGGAATAAGAAAAGCTTCACTTGCAATCCACCCCACCCCCCCCAAAAAAAAAGAACGCATAGTGTTCATAGTGTCGAATCCAAGAATGTCAATGCAAACATGTGAAAATGTACACCGCGCTACAGCGCCATAAACATGCTCAAGCAAACCCATCTATCATGTTTTCTCCCACCGCGCGTCCTTCCTGGGGGTCAAAAAGCCCGACCTCAGCAGCTTACCTTAGTAGATCCTAGCTTACCTCGTTTGTTACCAAAAAGAAATAAAAAGAACGTTTGGTCTTTCCACCCCAAAAGGACCGCTCTGCGGTCCTCTCCTTCCTCCAAGGAACCGACAGACCTGTGCCAGGCACCGGTCCATCGAGGCATCGTTGCCCTCGCCCACCGTCTCTGGAGGGATCAAGGCCGCCGAGACGCCCACAGCGTAGGTGCCGGCGTCGCCCTGGGGGTTTTCACGTGATCGAAGTCCGTGGGAGAAATCCGTGGCTGGCTGGCATTCTTGTGGGGATCGAAGTCAAGAATACAATGGTTCGATGGTTGCTTTCTTTACAAGAAGGCCCTACAGTCCAGAAAACAAACAAACACCCCGCGGGCACGGACCCAGCTGCTGAAAAAAACACATGTCCATTTCGCCTGGGGTGGCGTGTGGCTCTCCATTGGGGACTTTTTCGTTTGGGTGTGCCGAGCTCATGAGCACGCAGGCCTAGCAAGATGGGTACTGAAAGGAAGCAATTTCCATTGGGTGAAGGGGCTCGGAGTTCAGCCCAAAGGTGTCTCCCCTCTGGGCCGAGAGTGCTCGCCCAGGTGATGGAAGCGCGTGCATTCGCCGTCCCTTGGTGGTGGCTGGGTCTCGCGTTTCCTTCGGTCTGCAGCTGCCTGCAGCCGGCGGAGAAGGACCAGCGCAGTATCCACCACGCCCCGGAACCAGGCACGGCTGCTACCGCCCAGTGGGCCCTCCCAAGCGACCTCACTCTGCTCGCTCTCGGTCGGGTCCTCACAAACTTCGGAGAATGGGGGAGATCTGTGAATGTTTCCTTGGAGCGCAGTCTTGCATGCAGCATCCATTGCAATCATGACATGAACCCCCACAAAACAAACAAACAAATAGGCCATAATTTGTTGGTGCGACCAATGAACATCGGGTCATCAATGTCAATATATGTCAATGCTTCACCTGTGCATATCCCAAAAATCAGATCCAGGGCCCCGCAGCGAGTTGAGTCGAACTGCCGGGCACTGTAGCAGCTCTGGGCACTGAGTGGCACGTCTCTCATGAGAAGGCCTGTGGAAGCACCAGCAGTTCCTCCACTAACAACCACTTTGGTGTGATTCAATTGGCCACTTACCGCCACAAGGTACGGTAAATCCTTAGGCGCCTTTGCCCCCCCCCACCCAAAAATATAAGACAGTTCCCCCAAATGTCACTCATTCTCCAGGATCCTTTCTCAGTCCTCAAGGAGTTCTTCGTCCTCGCTATCTTCGTCGTCTTCGTTTCTCGCGCCGTTCTCGCCATTCGGCCGCCGCTTCTCAGGGGAAAAGCTCTCACGTTTTCGAGCCACCTGGCGATCGACGCGAAGCAGTGTTGCTGACGGGAAGTCTGTGCGGGGGGAAGCCGGAAAACAATCTCCCTCAAATGCGTGAGTCACGAGTGGCACACCACTGCCATTGCCGCTCAGCCAGAGTATCTGGTGGGCTTGCGTCATCAAAACTAGCAGCTAGCACTAGCTAGGACCTTAAAGTTCGAGACTTAGACCCCTCAAGGCTTACCTTCTTCTCGATCCAAGTGACATTCGGATACCTTCGGCAAGTAATTGGCAAGTGTTTCCGATGTGTCAGCCACTGCTTCACTCTACATCACATGCACACCACGCACACCCCCAGCACCTCATATGGCTTCAACTCCTCTGGCAGCCAACTGGAGGACACCTCCCACAAGGGCACCACATAAGCGTTGGCTGCCCGGTTGAAGTGCTTCTGCCGGCAGAAGCCCGGAAGCCCCGCAGGCCCAGGTAATTCACCCCGCTTCGAGGGCCGCATCCGCGCAGGTTTGGGCGCGTCAGTAGACGCTTCAGCGGACGCTTCAGCGGACGCAACAGCCAGCGCGTCATGGCGTGGTGTAGGATCCTCCTCCATTGAGGGCACAGTGAATGTGGGGAAAACTAGGGAGGAAAAAGAAACAAGAAAAGCTTGAGAGTTTTAAAGGTCAGGACTGGTAAAAGCACATAACCTCCAAAGTGCCGACGCCTTTCTGAACGAAAAGAATGAGAACAGCCGGATCCATGTCTTACTACAGAATGCCGGGATCGAGTGGCTCGTCCGAGCCAAAAAGATCAGCAGACCACCGCAGCCCAACGGGCATCTCGAAACAGCACTTCACATGCAGGTCTTCCAATATGGGGCGGACACGCTGAAGACCTGTCGCCTTACAGTGGCCATTGGAATCGCTTGTAACTTGTGAGGCTTGCATGTCATAGCAAACACCGTGTGACCCAAAACCAACGTGGCCCAAGCTTCTGTCGGCAACTGGCGGACCCACGGACCCACCAAACCCTCCAAAACCCCGGTCAGACCGACCAGGTGACCGTGTCAAAGCCGAAGGCAGTGAGTCCCCACAATCCACACCGGCTTTGCTCCGAATCCATCATTGAGCATGCGCCTTTTTTGAGGCCGCTGGCGCAGGTCACTTCCTCTTTCGGACCTTTCGCTTGGGCCCAGCCTCTGCTTTGGGGGCTTTGGCCTTCTTGTTGGACGTGGCCTTCGTTCAGGGAACAACTCTTGGTGAATCGAACATGCTGACAGATTTCACGCCACAGGGCAACAACTATATATTTACACTGATCAACAGCGTGCTTCGAGAAAGAAACACACATCACTCACCAAAACCATGTGCTATACCGCTATACCGGCTGTATCTTTCACTGAGCACCCCATCCCCTCGGTGCTCTCCACCCACCCCGCAGCCCGAAGCACCGGCCTCTCCGATCCCCGTGGCGCCCGTGGCGGGTGGGGCGGTGGACGCCGAGGACGCGCCTCGTCGTTGGACCGGTCGGTCGGGGGGGGGGGGGCGTTTCGCAACGCTCGCACACGCTCGCACCATCGGCGACGATATGGACGGCAGCTTTGAGAGGTGAATCATCCTCCAGTTGGTACGCCCTCGCGCAGGCAGTGCACTCTTGGTTCTGGCGGCCGCAAAAAGCAAAGGCCAAGATCGCCCCCGAAAGTCGCAGCAAACCGCCCTGCCTTTGGTTTCGCTCTCGTTCTTGGCGCGGGTCCTGCCCGCGTCTCGGCCAGCTTCGGGCTGACAAGTAGTCACAGTCTCACTTTTTGTCTCTTCTCACGAGCGCCTGCGACTCAAGTCGCAGCCAGCTGGAAGGGGTTTGAAGGCCATCGAAACAGGCCAGCGCTCACATGTTTCAAGGCCAGGGCTTGGATGATCTCAGACGAAATCCCCAAGCACCTTGAGTCTTTCTGGGGTCGGAATGGGTGAGCCCGTGAGCCCAAATGTTTTCCACAAACATGCTTCTTCAACAGCACGACAAGGTGGCATGCTGGCCCAGCCCCACAGGCTGAGATCATCCAAGCGAGATCACAACTATCTCAGAGTCCATCTGGCTGATGGGTGTCTCTGAGTATCGGGAAAACTGCCACACATCACAAACCGCCGGTGTCCCCAAATGGAAGGGAAGGGAAGCAATCAAACTACAGTAGATTCAACTGATGAATGGCACAACCAAGGACACAAAAGCTTGCTTTGGCTTGATCCAGCCGAAGCATGCCCAGGCCATTCTTCTTGGCCCAGGGGCTGCACATCACCTTCCCCTTCCACCTTCCGGGTCGACCGGCTTCCAGGACGCCCTACGTGCAGCGGTTCCACCGACCGCGGCTGAGCGAAGACCCAACGAAGCTGGGACCGTCTCCAAGCCCAGCCACCGGTCCCAGCGAGCTGCCTGCAGCGAAAGAGTCGCTACGTTTTTTTCGGGTGCCAAGCTAGCGAGGGAAAGAACCCGAAAAAGGGAATGGCACGGGTCTAGATCAACAAGCTCGCCAAAAAAAAAACGGCTACAGGATTGGAGTGTACGAAACAAACACTAGACTAATGTAAATCAAAATCTGTAGGGGTGAAAAGTAATTCAACCAGCCTCGTTCGTGGGTCGTTCATGGGTCCATTTCATCGAATTCAGGAATGAGAAACCCCCAGGTGATCCTAGTCGGACTCCGAGAATTCGAAGCAACACGAGAAACCCCCAGGTGGTGCAGGACGCCTTCGGCGTCCCAACGGATGAAAGGATGTCACAATCGACCAGCGCACAGGAGCGACATCCCTGTCGCCAAGTTGAACTAGCGCACAGGAGCACCACGGATGATCACCAATACTCCAACGATTCTATTCCATGGGGTGTCCACTTGCTGGCAGCCTTGATTCTGCTCCCTACCCGTGCACCAGGAATCGGAGCCTCATTGGAAGCTGCGTCGCCGATGGATATGGCTCCTGACCGGAGAAAAGCCGCCAAAGAGTTGGACTAAAAGAAGGTTCCATCGACCATCGATGGTTTAGACCATCGAGGTCTTGAGAAAAGAAGGTTTCTGATCCGACAGAATTGGTGTTAGCACGTGAAACACAAACATTTTATAGATATACAAGCGGCGTACAACTCACCAAGCTCTCAACTGGTTTGCCCCTGAGCCATGTGCGTACATTTGATGGAGGAGGAACAGGAGCATCCTCCACATTCACATGACATGACATGCCTCTGGCTCAAACACAACATAGTGCACCCCAATGGAAATAATGCAGGTAAAATGGTCTGTGCTGCCTTTGAGCCATTGTCAAATTTCTCCGGTGTTTCACCACTGACTTCGATTACTGGTCGCGGCATCACGCTCAGACAAACAGCATTTGTTTAAAGCTGACCTGTCTCCGGTGGTTCTCTTCCAACAGTCGAGATCCATCCACCCGCGTCCCTGTGTCCTTTGAGTCAGATCCTCCTCGGGCGAGTCGTTCCTGCCACGATGCAAGAGGGTCTTAAAGCGGGTCGTTGGGTGGCGCCGTAGCGCCCAAGAACGTATGACAGAGCAGGTGCGGCACAGGGCTACATCAACTCGCCACGAAAATCTGTAAGTGGGCCGCTCAGTCACTCACTTCGTTGGGTCAAGTAGTACTACACCTATTCTTGCAGACCACCCACCACGGGAATTCTTCCAACCCATCTGACAGCTTCTTTTGGAAATGACCGCGGTAAATATTCTTCATCCTTCTTCCCACCCCATTGAACTCATCGACGACCGAAGATCACATTTGACGGTCAACCCTCAGGATGTCCCACACCAGGGTGCTTTCGGTTCCCCCGTGCACGCCTCAACTGGGACAACGACCTGGGAGAGCAAAGCCCACCAACCTGAGACACAAGAAAAAGTGCTTCCATTCGAAGTGGATGAGCAAAATCGACGATTTTACCGCCTGGAGGGAAACCAGATGTTGATGTCACTGGTGCCCCACTAATGTCCAGTTCCAGTGAAACAACGGTGGGTCGGGTCTTCTGAGGATTGTGCGGATGGACTGGTCAAGACCAGTCCAGTCGAGCCCTGCCGTGGCGCCGTGGCACCAGCACTCTAAAACCTATCAGGTGAGGAGACTCGTGCTACTAGTAGTAATGGCCTCCAACCTAATAGCGATGGCCTCCACCCTAGTAGCGATGGCCTCCAACCTAGTAGCTTCTTGCTACTGACTCAAACTGAATCTAGCTGATCAGCCTTGGGAACCGGTGTGCTGCCATCACAATCGATCAGATGAAGGGTCTCATGATCTCTGAGTGCAGGGGGCATGCACCAAACCTTACTGTAGTGTTCGGAGGAGTTGAGGGACCCCAAAAGAACGTGAAGAGTCTTGGGATCGTGTTCTGCCATGTTCTGTCTGTCTATTTCGAGGCTGTCACGCCCTAAATGTTGCTTTGGAGCCCAACGTCCAAAGCTCTCCCCACCCAAAAACCAACTGCCGCGGCGCCAACGGCTCTGCGGCCCAGCTGTTGTACTTGGACAGTGGCCTGAGACTCTACCCGGGTCTTCAAAACGACCAGGAAGCCCCAACGGCCGCGTGGAATACGGTGACCATCATGAACCAACCGTTAAAAAGAAATAACACACCCTCCGGACTCCAATCTCAAGAAGAAGGTCCGGGGAAATGGTCGGCAACGCTAAGGGCTGCTCTACAAACATACCAGGACCCAAACACACCAAATACGGATGTGCATAAATATACATATATATATATATATACAGAAGGTATTGCTAGATCTGATGCTTGGACCCCTTCAAAGTTGATCCTTCATTCTGGGTTCCACTGGCTTCCGGGGTTCTAACTACCTGCGTTCTGCACCGTGGGGGTGTGCCTTACCACGGGATGGAAAGCACTGTTGGCTTGGAAGCATGATCGCAGCCAGACCACTCCTCTGGACACATGACCACAGCGGCCGATTCCGCCAGCCAAAAATCACAGCCAGCAAAATGCAAGGAGTACCCATTCTCGTACCCCAAAAACACCCAAAAATGAGGCGCAAACTCCGAGTCCGCCACGTCCAACCTTCTGCCCACGGGTCCTCCCACGGGTCTGCACCCGCCCCGACCCGCCATCCCAGCTGCGGATGCTTCAACTCGTCGTTCACCAGCGCCACCACGGTGGCCCGTCGCTTCAGCATTTCCCAGCGCTCGGCCGCCGTCACCGGTGCCTTCGAGCGACGGTGCTCCAAGGGCGGCACCCAGCAAACGCTCCGGAAGCGTCCAGCGTTCCTGGGCCAGGCGATGTCGTGTCCTGTGCATGCTGCCTCTCCCAGAATCACCACAAATATTTATATAAGTACTACGAGTAGAATCCAGATATAGGCCATCGCTTCTAGGTTGGAGGTCGTCGCTTCTAGGTTGTGGGCCATTGCCAGTGCAGTTTTTATAACTGCGTGGCTGAAAACCCGGGAAAATTGACGCAAATCGCACAAGAGTCGAGAGGTGCTCGTGCTCAATGCGCACAGTCGCCCACATGCTTCGTCGGAAGAGTTCCTTGAAAATGCTGAACACTCAAGAGCACAAACAACCGCACCACAACACACAGGCTTTTCTCTTCATCTTCCATTCACGTTTTCTGTTCCTCTCCCTATTGTGTGTTCAGATTCAATTGGTCTGGATGTCAATCGCCAACCAACGACCCATATCGAACCTCAAAAGCACTGGCTTATAGCAGAAAATCACCTGAATGTCAAGAAAGTATCCTTCATTATTGAAAGGCGCCTATCGGAATCACCAACAACGCGCATGTGATGTGCCATCTATGGCCCCAATCTTGACCCACACGATCTCGCTTGCGCACGCAGCGAAACACTTGCACACACAGGCATGTTACTGCATTGGAATGGCACCCTCCTCCTCTTTTCTATGTCGGGTAGCTCACAAAAGGCAAGCGCTGTTGGAAAGGCACGTTCCTCCTCTAAGTGTTGCCTTCGGGTGGCTCACAAAATGTCTGCACCGTTGGAGTGGTTTTTTCCTCCTCTAAATTTGACCCCTTGGGTGGCTCACACAAGGTCTCCGCCGTTGGAATGGCACCCTCTTCCTCTAAATGTTAACCCTCGGATGGCTCACGAAAGGTACGCAACGTTGGGATTGGTTTTTCCTCCACTAAATTTTGGCCTCAGGTGGCTCACAAAAGGTATGCACCGTTGCATTGGCACCCTCCTCGCGCACACGGAGGCTTCTCATCCTTCCAACTTGCACGTGTACAGGCGAGGCGTTTTCCGCATGCACAAGCGAGTGCCATGCCCGAAATTCTTCGGTTGATTTGGACAGACCTGAAATTGCAGAAATCGACCATGCGAAGGCAAGAGGCCAGGAAGCTGATCAAAAAGGCGAAGCACTCCTGCCAAACGCCGGAGGCCGGTGAACGCGTCGTGGGAGTCTGTGGGGGCCACACTGATACCCTTCTGATTCTGGCCCACACCCCTCCTCCCAAAATAGAACTGCTTGGTGGAAACACAGCTTTCTTCATTATCGGCCCAAACATATACAGTACCTCCATGCATCAGGTCATCAGCGCTTGCTACAGTCCCAAGCTAAACTCAGGTGACCCGCCTAGGGCCTTAGGGATCCAAATGATGTAAGGTCTCTCAGTCATGACACGGGAACAGACTAGGGGGTTCAGGCTTCGTTCACCACGAATCCAGTTTGAGCTGCATGTCCTCAAGTCCATCCTCATCTTGAGCGCTATGCATGCATCTACGGCCCCTGCTTTTTC